TAATTTTGGTATATGCCGATTTCTTTCTTTTTTATAATTTGCTGGATTCTCCCATATTTTGTTTTTTTTTGTGTTGCACAGTGTTAATTATTATTATTATTAATATTAATATATTATTATTATTATTATTATTATTATTATTATTATTATTATTATTATTATTATTATTATTATTATTATTATTATTATTATTATATTATTATTATTATTATTATTATTATTATTATTATTCTTATTATTACTATTATTATTATTATTATATTATTATATTATTATTATTATTATTATTATTATTATTATTATTATTATTATTATTATTATTATTATTATTATTATTATTATTCAAACCTAATTTTTTTCCGATTTAGGTCTTTCTTAAAAAATCGAAATAAATCATTTTTTTTTTAAATATCTCCAAATATCCTGATATTTTTTCTATCGTTTTTTTCCTGAAATTAATTTTCAAGTTGGCCTATGTTCACTGGTGGCGAATTGTTATTTTGGCTTAAATGTGTGCGTGTCTCAGCTTAGCTTTATTTGTTCTTGTTTCTTTTTCTTCCTATCTACAACAAGACAGCGTATTGTCTTCAGTGTACAGACTTTAGTGCAATCAAAAGTAATTATTTTAAAGTCGTCGTAAAGCTTTTATTTATTTTAAATTTTTAAATCTCTGCTCTGTATATATATTTTTTTCAAAACACTTGGCGTCATCGATGGGTTTTTCATTATTTTCGTTTCGAAGTTTGGAGTAAATAGAAATATTTTTGAAATTTTCTTTGGCATCCTGGTAATCTGACTATGAATTTTATTTATTTATAAAAAAATTGCGCTCTTTTCACTTTCACATTTTTAAAAATAAATTTTTTGGAACCTATCATATTTTTTCTCTCTCTGGACGTTTTTTTTTTTCTTCTAATTTTTGTTTACATATGATAGTTTTAATTAATAATTCTTTTTTTCTATAAACTAATTGAATGGTATTTTTACTAATTTAAGAACAACATCAATTGAAATAACATTAAAAAATCTATTTTTTGTTTAAATTGTTTAGCGGAAAACTTATTACAATGTTGGCATTTTATAAAGTACTTACGGTTGTTTTCCTTGGCAATTGTTAAGCTAAAATGTAGACTTTGAAATATTAGAATTAAATGATTATTGTTTCAAAAAGAAACGCCAAAATGGGGCAGTATTTCTTGGCAGGAATCACCCGGTTTCATTACTTATGTGAATATCTTACAACGATTAAGATTCAACAGTGGTTTCTTATACATTAGGGTCAGTTTTTGTATATTGATACGAATGTGGATTCGAAAGCAAATCACAATCCCAAATAGGTATTAAGAAAAATATTCTGATTTCATTCAAAATTTTTAAAATTAACATGGAATTGTTTTGCCATCGTTTTTTTTTAATTTTAATTTAACTCAAAAATTTGAAAAATACATTTGGAATGGAATTTTGTTTCTCATTGACTTTTGAGTCGACAGGTTCGGAAATCAAAATGTATATTATCATCTTTATAAAGATAAGCCATTTGTATTAAGTTTTCTTCTACAGCTACATTTTCTGGTTTTCTAATTTAGTGAGTTCTAATTGATTTCTATCATATGTAAACTCGATGTGATATTTCATTAAAATTTGATTAGCTAATTATTTGTTTATTGAAATTTAGCTATAATAGTGATGGCATTAAACAATATTCCACATAGTTCAAATACAAAATTTATCAAAACTTATCATGAATATACTATTTTTTCGGGGTGGGCATCAGGGTATAATAGGAAAGTATCCTCCTTATCCTTCGTGTGATACTCGTAGAAATATTTTCATAAGATTTGGAAATCTGTTGTTTTGGCGATTCTGCTAACCCAGAGTGGTAAGCATAGCCGACGATGTAGGTTTAGATCTTCAACTCTCCAATACCGATCGTGGTTGCTCTCCTCTTATTTGATCACATAGTCGCATATTTCAATATAATATCGACAAGAACTACCGAAGTCAGAGGAAGCGGTGATCAAGTGGGAAAATTTTAGATAGTTTTGGAGCATTTTCCTTAAAATTTTTATTTCTGTCAAATGGGTTATGAACTACTTGGGTCATGAAACCTTATTGGCTAAAACTGAGCTAATCTATTTTTGATCTTTTTTTTAATGGGTTTATAAAAAAAGGAATGTTCCACACATTTTGGAAAAGCCCTTGACAAATGTAAACAGTTTTTGTATTTCAGTCACAAATTTTAATCCGAATTTGCTTTTAATTGGAAGCTTTAATTGGATTTTTTTGGCAATTTATTTCACATTTTTTACCGGAATGTTCTGAAATTTGGTATTTAAAGCTGTTAATGGGTATTATCTGCAACGTCAGAAAATTGATTATTTTATACAAAATTTGTTACTGGAATTAACTTAAATTTGAAGTTCGTTATGGATAGAAATTCGCCAATACAGATCCATGTATTCGAATATCCCCTATATAAGGGTATATACCTTTATTCAGAATTTTTATGATTTGGCGACATATTTCATAGAATTGTCTCAAATTAGGTATTTGGTATAAACAATGGGTACTTCTTTTTGTTTAATAGACAATTTTTTACATAGGCCCACCTCTTCGTTCAGCTCCAATATACGTACCTAACAACATTCGGTATTTTTATAATTTAAATCATATTGTGGGATTGGAGTTCGTATTATGCACCAACTCCCACGACAGAAAATTGCAGGTCCACTCCACATTAGTGTATATCCCCCATATAATGTACTTTTCGATATCATATATTTTGCCGATTATAACCACATCTTTCAACGGAATTATATAAAAATTGCTATTTGAAGTTCGCAAAAGGCTCCCCCTTCTGTGGCAGAAAAGGCTGTCAAACAACTTTTATACCAAAAGCTTGTGTGTATAAGAGTCAAATCGACGGCTACTCTCTAGGCCTGATACAAATAAGATTTTCTGAAATTCTTGGAAAGATGATAACGATAATACAAGATTATACTCTTTAAAAGGTTATTCCCAATTCAAAGTATATTTTGCTTTCGTTTGGATTTTTCAAAATGATGACCCATTATGGAGGAGGTGCCGAAAGAGTGGATCAATATTCTCCGCTTTGCACCGGACCTAAGTCTGGCTTATCAGGTTTAGATTTTATCGACATTTGTCTTCTTTATATTTGATATATGTGAAACTTTTTTTTTGAAAATGTTAAACTTTTCGGGGAGATACAACAAAGAGTGGATGGGATGTATTCCATTTTTCTAGAAGCAGTGGTCCTCCATATATCATCTTCAGAAATTTTGTGTTATGCAAAATTTGAAGACAATCGGACTTTTATTTTATATTATATAAGAGTTATGATTATTCAAACGGCAACCCTTGAGTAGAGCATATTGCCCACCTCCAAAAATTTTTGGATTCCATCATTGTTATTTCACCCAATACCAAACTTTGTATCATTTAGAAATTTTCGCACAAATCTAGGATGCATTTCTAAAACCACCTCCATAAAAAACCACAGACGCCAATAGAGACCTAAAAACAACAGACGCCAATAGAGACCTAAATAACAAATTTCGAGAGTTTTGATCACTTCCAAAGTTATAGTTATTGTGGCGAACAGGCGGACACAGCTGGATCGACTCCAAATGTCTTCAAACTAATTTCGTCCAAAGAGACCTGGGGCCCAAAACTGTTATTTCGATCATCATATATACCCCATGTAGCCATTTGACTGAGGGTATGACAGCGGCTTTCAATTGCAAGTACAAAATCGAACATGGATGTATAAATATCTAAATTTTTATGCGATTTAACCCGGTGTAATAATGTTATAGTCATCAAAAACTAATTTAAACATTAAATTAAATTTAAAAAATAAATAAATATCTGTAATTCGGGAATATTTGAAAGTGTGTGTTGATTTTCAGATTGTAAAAATATTTGTTATAATACCATCACTACATTGAAAATAGTCTAATTTAAACTAATTTTTTAATTAGCAACATAAATTTATATCGATCAAATATTTGTCTAGAGAAATGTATTTACAATTAATTTTCTATATTCTTTTTTTTTTTGGTAATGAAATATAAATATTATTTTCAACTATTTTTTTGTTAACAAAATCAAATGGAACGTCTAAAATTGAGGATGAATTTAAAACTAAAATTATTATTTATTTTTTTCAAAATTTAGGAGGGATTTCATGGATTCAAGGAAAAGAGCGTTGATAAGTTGATAAGACTTGGAAAAACGAAATTAATCATGGAAAATATGGATATAGGCAGACGAGACAAAAGATATTCGCGAATCTAGTACGTTGCGTTTTTTTGTTGTTATTGTTATTTATGTGGAACGAAAATACTTGAATAATGAAGAGAAATACAAGAGTAGTGGTAGAAGAAGAAGATGTAACTAAAATATAGACGTAGAGTTACGTTTATTTTTTCAAACGACGAAGTTTACAAAAAAACAACAGAGAACAGACAGAAATGTGGGCGTGTCATTTGTGTGTGTTTTTAAATTGTATTTAAGGTTTGTTAAACTACTTGTTGTTGTTATCAGTGTAGTTGTTGTATTTGTTTAGCTGGTTACACTTAAGTGAAATGTGAAAAAAAAAAAATATTTGATTGTTGGTTTGTTTTCTAAAAAAAAAAACACTTAAGTTTTGTTAGCGATTCTTAAGGAAAAGAACAAACACACAAAAAAGTAGATTTGTTTTAAGTTTCTAGCTTTCTAGATTTGAAGAAGAAATGAAATTACGACAACAAGTATGGACCTAGACAGACAGGACTATTTGTTAAATTGTAGCTTAATTGTTGTTAGCAATACCAAGGAAACAAAAAAAAAAAAACTTGTTATATGGTTTCGAAAAAAAAAAACATATTTTGAAAATTAAAAAAAAAAATTTAACAAAATAATATTTTTTTAAAATTGAAAAACGAAATCAAAATTGAAATAAAAACAAAAAAAATTTAAATATTTGGATTTTTACTTACTGGCACTCTTCGGCAGTATGTTTACTTTCGTCCGTACAATAAAAAAATTTCCCATTGAATAATTGTACACCAATGACAGAAAATATAAATTGAAATAATATGTACACGATTAGAATGTTAACAACATTTTTCAATGAATTCACTACGCAGTCGAAGACGGCTTTCAATTTGGGTACGCGCTTAATTGTCTTTAATGGTCGCAGGACACGGAGGACACGCAACGATTTGATTGTTGATAAATTTTGTCCAGCACTGCTACCGCTCATATCGAAACCAAAACTAACAGCAGCGCATATAACGACCACAGCATCCATAATATTCCAGAATTCTCTTAAATAGCTGCCAGGATGTAATATAACACCTAAATCTACAATTTTCAGTAACATTTCTATTGTGAATACGCCGGTAAATGCATAATCGAAATAATTCAAAATTTTATTTCGTGGTGAATTCTCACGAACGGGATCTTCAGCCGCTAACGCTATCGATGACAATGAGATGACGACCATAATGAAAAAATCAAAGTAACGTAAATTAACGACCCAATGGGCGCCACGTCTGATGCTGTATTTTTTTGGATTTTGATTTTTGTTTTTGTTTCAGGGGGTAGGGTTTTCGAATTTGTTTTTTATTTGTATTTCGCCAAAATATTTTGCGATTTTCAATTTTCAAAATTTTGTCATTCCAATTGCATGTGTGGGGGTGTTTGTTGTTGTTGGTTCGGGTGGTGTAGGTGTTTTCAATAATATCCAATTTTGTTGTTGTTGTTGTTTTGGTCAAAGCAATTTTTTGTTGGTGTTGGTGGGTGTTTTTTTGTTTTTCGGGCGCATTCAAATTGTTCATTTTTTTTTTTTTGAGGGGTGATTTGTTTATCGGTTTCGTGTTTTTTCGTGATTTATTCCATGATCGATGATAGAGTTGGCAAGTAGGGTATTGTATTGTTGAATATTTAGCAGTACATCAAGGCATTGTATTTATGATGATTTTGGTTTTCGTAACGTGCATCATGCAAAGCAGTTGATAATGATGATGGTGATGACGTTATGATCATCAAATCATAAATGATCAAAAGTAACATAAAAATCCACAAATCCATAAGAAAACAGGGAGTCAACATACAAAAATGAAATAAAAAAAAAAACCAAAACCAAAAAGAGGATATAAAAAAGAGAAAAAGTTTATATTAATCATTTGTTTCGTTTACCTTGCTTAAGAAAGACAAACATTTAGAGATTATTATTGAAAAAAATATACATAGCTTATTCGTCTAACTTAGAGAAGATATGATGAGTTATTAGAATAGATATTATTCTTACGAATGTGAAAGTTATGAGTAATGAGAGGAGGATGTGTGAGAGGGAGCTGGAAATTCCAGGGTTTCAAATTTTCTTGGAATAATATCCAGAGAACGAAATAAGACAAACTTGCGGAAAGAGCCAAGTTAAGGACTTTCCCGAGGTAAAAATAGATTTTGAAGGAAGGAAGATAATTCGCAGTATTATTCGATTGCATAGAATTGTCTTTATTTTGTTTATCATCGAGAAAAAGGAATATTAAATAAATGAGATTATTCCAATAAATTTAGACTAAAACGTTGAACGGGCCCATTGAAGAGACCTGTACCAACTACGTGCCCAAATTATTTCCTGTTTCTGAGCGCCAAATAACAAAGGATTTATAAGATAAATGTTCTTTAATTGGAGGATCGAAAATCCCGAAAATATTCAAATAAATTTCAATCGGTTGATTGTGGCGCCCAACTAAAGAGCCATCTCCTTATTTCGAATTCAAATATTAGTAGAACACAAAATTTAAAGAAAACTTTTCCACAAACCGATTTCATTTAATCTTGGGATCCATTGAGACATCAATTTTCAATCTAAGAAACTAACCCCGAAAATTGTTAAATAAAAATAAAGAATTTTTATTGGGATTTTACACTGCGTTCTTTGGATGTCTAAAGAAAATAATTGAGTTTACGTCAATGTTCCATTAAAACATATCTATTGTTCATCTGGGTAATTCTAAAGTTATATGGAAAATTGTTTTCAGCGACAAAGCATATTTTTGGCTCAATGGGAACGTATACAATCAAAATTGTCGGTTCTGGAGTAAGGATCAGCCAGATACATTCCAAAAGCTACCAATGGAAAAAGCTATCCAGGAAAGTCACACTTTGGTGCGAGTTGGTGGCTGGTGGCACCATTGGACTGTACTTCTTCACGAAGTACGAATCGTAATGTAATGTAGATATCCAACTTGTATTAGTCAAATGAACTTGTATTACTCTTTACAATGGGTTCATTGAGAGGGCATTGCTTGTAGGGTTAGGTCAATTTCATCTCTATAAAGACAAGATGCATTAATTGACGCATTGGAAGCAATTATTCGTTAGATGCCAGCCGAAAGTTGAAAAGAGTACGTCAAAATTGGACTAAGGAGATGGACAATTTTCAGGCTCACTCTTATTCAATATTTGCATGAAACAATATTCAAACATTAAATTTTATAAATTTTTCTGAATTGTATGTGTTTTTGTTAAACTTTTCTAGAATTTCCGAAAATTTTCCCATAGAACGATTTCATGTAATTTGGCGCCCAATTAGATTTGTTTTATTTCAATAATAGCCTTTGGACCGCTTTGCGATTACTTTGAAAAATTTTGTCAATGTTTATGTTTAAATTTCTTTAAATGTTTAATAGCGCCCAACGGTAGAACTCAAAGAAAGTGTTACAAAGCACTTTTATATTTTGGCTCCCACTGGAGGCACCATCTCCTCGGTTAGTGACCAAAAGGTACCACTGATGCGAGAAAACACTTCGAGTTCATAAAAATACACCCATTACAGTTTCTATACAGAAAAAAATTCTATGAATTACATAGAGAAAATATTGAATTTAATTATGGCGCCCAACGAGAAACATTTTCTTTCTATATCAGCCACAATATTTTCCTCTCATAAAAGTAGTTTTGGAAAATATGAAATTTTCTTCATGTACGGTGCTAAACAGGGCGGCTACCATTTATATTTCAAAATCTGATGATGGTCTCAAAATACGAATTTATTTTAGCTCTCAATGAAAAGTCTAATTTCTTTATTTCGTCTATTATTTGATATACCGAGAAATTTCATTAATATTGGACCCCAATCAAAATCCTATTATGTTTAATGAAAAAAAAAATCTGTTGAAACCCATTTTTATCCTGACTAATAAATTTATGTTGAAAATTTAATTTTAATTTGCGGTTTAACTATGATGTATGGCGCCCAATCGAAACAACCTAGTAAAGTGCACAAACCTTATGATTCTGGCGCCATCTGGAAAAAAATTCCTCATATGGTATCTGAAGTCACCACAGTTTCACTTCACAATATCTAAAATAACCATTTCAAGTTATTTTGGCGTCCAAGGAAGAAATATTTTTCTTACTTGTAATTTGATATTTTTCTTTGCTAATAGTATTATACCAATCTCGTTTCATGGTCCTAATAGTTTCTATTACTAACTATTCCCACAGTATGACCCAAATAATGGTATCACTTAATTTTGACGCCCAAGCTAAATTTGCTTCATAGATTAGCTCTCTGATTAGGATTTCCTAGTTAATGGAGATCGAAAATATATATATATATATATATTTTTTTTTTTTTAATTTCAAGAAGAGCAATACATTGAAATTCATTGCAGAATTAATAGAAACTGGCGCCTGATTTAACTTTAATTCAAAGAGATATCACTTATTTTTGGTGCCCAAGTAAAATTTGTTTCTTATGATCACGTTCCTGCTCCCGTTAGGGGTTTCTTACTAAGGGAGAAATATGGTATTTTTATCTCAAAATTAAAACAAAATCAAATATATTAGGGATTTATTTGATTAATTTCAATGCTTTGAACCTTGATATTTTTAATGTTGAAGCATTTCAAAATGTTGAAGAATTTCGCCCATGTAAGATAAGGTCTTAGCATATGTTGGAAAATCCAATTTTTGTTGTAAGAAATCTCTAAACTTAAAAGATTACAGTAGAAATTTTGTCTGGGCACAAGAACAATGCCATTTAACCAAGATTTATTCAGCAAATGTTATGGTTCATACTTGGCGCCCAACAAAAAAAAATTTTGAACTAAACGTTATAATTTCCAGATCCCTCTTCACGTCCTCAAGAAAAAAAAAACTTGAAAATAGAATGCTACGAAATACTTAACCCTTTTCTCGCACAAAACAGAACTTAATCATTATTTTTTTATGTATAGCGAAAAGATAAAAGATTAAGTTTTTCAAGAAAAATCAAAAGCAAATATGAGAATATTTGGTAGAAATGATATAAATACATATTATAGATATCGATATAAAGACAGACGAGAATAAAATAGAGCTAGAAAGACTTGTAGACAGACGGACAGACACAGACAGAGAGAGACAGAGAATATATATATAGAGTGAGAGAATACAAAATGAGTATTTACGGATTCGTCGGTGATAATATAAACATTGATGAATATGGCAACATTGGTTTTGGACCCTCCGTAACTTCTTCCTCTTCCTTCTTTTCCTCCTCCTTCTTTTTGCTCTTCACTTTGGCCGCCGTAGCACCTTCGCCACCATTCTCGACATGGACGCCATCACCTTGTAGCGCTTCCATTTCTTTCTCTAATTCTTGTAATTGTTTCTCTTTATCTTCCTCGACTTGTTCCTCTTCGGCAGCAGTTAATTCTTGGGCGTTTGCTAAATTATCAACAGCGATAGCCAAGAACACGTTTAGCAATGTATAATTACCGAAGAGTACCAAAACGATAAAGTAACTGTTGTTGTGGTACACGCCAAGAAAATTATTGATTTGAATTTTTCAGCAAAACGTTCGACGACGACGGAGGGTCATTTGAATGGGCCGGATCGTTGCATGATGATGTTGTAAACCATTGTTGTATTTAATTTTTTAAAATGGTTTTTTTGTTTTATTTTGAGGGGGAAAGAGAGAGATATAATGTTTTGCATAAGGTTTAAAGTTTCTTTAGCTTGAAATTGAATAGTTTTTTTTTTTTTTTGTAGGAATTTAAATTGTGGGGGATCTTGCAGACTTTCTTTGAAGCCATTTGTAAACAAAAATTAATTGATAAAAAATACGAAAATTATAAAATTGGGTTATTTGTTGTGATAATAAGAGAGAAAGAGATTATGTTTAAGTTGCATATGAAGGGCATAATTTAAATGGTTTGTTTTTTTGATGAGAATAAGGCTATATATTAAAATGAATTTAAGCTATAAAATATGTTTTAAATATTTGACAATGACATGTTATGGTTTTAATGAGTATTATTTGATGAAAATGGCGTACAGTATAATGAGATTTATTTACCAAATTATGGTTATGATTATAGTTATAATTTAGTCCAAAAGAACTAGGGAGGAATATCCTCCTCTGAATCAATTTTTGCCAAATTTGCCGAGACATGTATGCCTTTTCAATTCGGGCTTATATGATAATATATTTGGTGCAAATAACTTGAAATCGGATAAAGGTATGGGAGCTATATCCAAATCTGAACCGATCTCCAAAAATTTTTTCGAAAGGTGTTTCTGAGCTGTATTGTCCAGCAGTTTGCAAACAAACAAAAAGGTCAGCTGAAAATGTGTACCTTTGGTTGGCCACCAGAACTCAAGCGCCGGCCATGATAATGGTGTGGGCCGCCATACCAGCCAATGGTCACTCTCCACTCGTATTAATCGACCGTGGCATGAGAATAAATGCCGATTATTATCCTGAAAATATTCTGGAGTATGTATCAAAGTAGACCTTGGACATTCCAACAGGACTCAGCACCAACGCACTCAACACGCGCCACCCAAGAATGGTTACAATATGAGGTTCCTCGCTTCATTTCCAGCGCACAATGGTCACCAAATCCCCGGATTCCGATCCTTAGGACTATTGTGTCTGGAGTATTTTAGAAAGCAGGGTTGGCACTAAAAAATACCAGAGTGTCGATGACCTAAAGCAAGCGTCGGGAAAGGGCCAAAATACCACAGACCAACGTTCGGGCAGCGTGTGACGGTTTCATTGGTCGTTTGAAGGCCATAATTCGTGACAAAGGTGACCAATTCGATCAAATCTACACTTATTCTAAAATGTGATGGTATTTCCGATACTTTTTTGTTTTCATTCAATAAAATTTAAAAATGTGTAAAAATTATGGCATTTGACTTTGTTGCAGTTTTTCATCTCACCCTGTATATGGGAGCTATATCCAAATCTGAACCGATATTGGTAAAATTTGTCGAAGAGGTTCCTGAGCTGCATTTGATATATTTCCCCGAATATCGTTGTTACGGGTGCATTTTACGGCTGTGAAGAACAAATATAACAAATCGGTTGAACAATATAGATGGGAGTTATGGCTATATCTGAATCGGTTTTTTACCAAATTTGACGTGCTTGTTTCTAGGCTCAATTTGGTTGTATGTGCTAAATTCCATCCGATTTGGGCTAATATTACAAGTTTTGTGCACAATAAAAGGATAATCGGACGAAGACACATTTGGGAGCTATATCCAAATCTGAACCGATCTCGATAAAATTTAGTAAAGGCATTTCTGAGCTGTATTTGATATATTACTCCAAATATCGTTGTTATAGAGTGCATATTACGGCTACGGAGGACAAAAATGAGCAATATATATGGGAGCTATGGCTGTATCTGAACCGATTTTTACCAAATTTGACATTCTTGATTCTGGGCTCAATTTGGTCGCTGATATTACCCGTTTTGTGTACACTAAAAAACAAATCGGACGAAGATATATATGGGAGCTTATCTAAATTTTCACTGATTATCGGCAATATCAAAAAGGTTCGTCCTTGGGCCGAAGAAATTGCTTGTGCAAAATTTCATCGAGAGCGGGCTATAAATGCGACCTGCACTTTTTTTTACAGAAATACAGGGACCGACGGACGGATGGACGGACATGCATAAATCGACTCAGAATGTGATTCTATGCAGATCATCAAAAGAAAATACGAGTCTATCTCGCTTCCTTTCCTATGTTACAAACAAATGCACAAGGACACGTTGTGCAGGGCTTAAGAAGTCTTTAAAGAGTCTTTCTTTAAATCAAATGTAAGGTCGTTAGAAAAAATTGAGGCATTTTTAGAGGCGACATTCAACATTTTAACACTTTTCATTTTACTCTTTGTACTGTACACCATTTTCCTGTAACAAAATGAATTTATATGGAAAGGTAATGCATGAAATAAGTTTTTAAAAAATTTGCAAATATTAAATAAAATATACAATATTTAATAAGGGAAAACTGAAGAAAATCTATATAAATTTTTTGCAATAAAACAAAAAATTTCAATAGGTTTTCTAAAGTTTTCACAATTGAAGACATCAACATTTAAATTCAATTCAACATACAATTTGGAGAAATAAATTGTATATCGAATTGTTTAAATATATACACATTATGTGTATGTCGGTAGGTAGGTATGATAACTCTCTGTTGTTCGTTAACGTTAGTCTTGCCAAAAGATTTGTATCCCGTTTGTTACTCTTTTTTTTTTTTTTTGTTCGGAGAATTAAAGCATTTTGTAGAGCGCGTAGAAAATTGTTATTAATTTCAAAAAAAAGTTATTTAAAAAAGTTAAAAACTATTGTAAAAAACCTTAGATCTAAGAAATAAACTCATATATACAAATGTCATATACACATGTTGGTATGTAGCATTGGTTTTACTTAGAGGTAAAGGATAGCGTAGAATAAGAGTTAGAGGTAGTCCATAATATGAAGCTGCAACTTATATATAAAATGAGAGAAAATTTACAAAATATTTTTTTCAATTGTTAGTAGATACAAATAGCTTACAATGTACGAAGAGGGGGAAGAAAAAAATAGTTTAAGGCAAATATTGATTGATTGATTGATGTGTTGAGCTTTCGCCAGAACTCGATTAAAATCCATCACCTAATTTCATAAGTAAATTTTCCAAATTTTGCATATTCTATTTCGGCTTTAAAATTTACTTGAAATTATTTGGAGAAAAACATTTTTATAATATCTTGTTTTTAGTTCTACAATATTATGGCTTTGCATTTTTCGCAAAAGAATTTAACTGAAAATTTTAAGCATACCTCCAAATGGATATCTTAAATTTTTAAGTTAAATTCCAATTAATGGAAAGATTATAAAAATGTTTTTGTTTTTATGTAGAACGTTGTTTCCCTTTTTACGATCATCTTCCATTTGTTCGAAATCCAAGAGTATTTTTGGAGACAAGCAGTTGTCCACCTGGGGGTATAACATTTTTTTGACATTTAAAAATCTTTCATAAAAATCTGGCATGCATGCGTATGTAGTTTGTATTTAACTCATGCTCGTATAAAATGTGTAATAAACGTGTGTTGGTTATTGGTAGTTTACTTTCTTTTTGTTCATCCAAAACTGGTGTTTGTCAAAAATGATCGATAATGCAACGTGTGTGTGAGTGGGAAAAATAAAGTTTTGTAATTCCAGTGGTGTGCTAGAAACTGTGAAGTTATTGTCACCTTAAGTAAATACAGGTTAAATATTGGTTTTGAGCTTCTTTAAATGATGAAGTAATTCAGATTTGTGAAGTTATATATTTATATTCATAGAATTATATTATTATAATTATATATTATTATACATTATAATATATATTATTATATATTCATAGAATTATTTTATATAGCTCCTAGTCATCGTACATAAAAATAAAATACCAAGGAGTAATTAAATAAAAGACAAAGGGAAACCCAAGATGTCTTCTTTATAAAATACCAATATAGGTCTTCTAAAGAGTGATTTTTTAGGTATTATCTTCTTAATATTTTGTTTGACTATTACCACTTGAGTTTGGGCTATGATTTAACAATAAATCGTGCTATAAACGAACGAAGCTTTTTAATCATTGATTTTTTTTTATGAAAATGCCTTTTCTGTTACGAAATTTCATATGACGCTTCATCCAATTTATGATCAGTTTCATCGACCCACTGAAGCGGCTGTTCGGGCTACTGTGACTAAATTTCGCACTAAATTTACTTTATCAGACTTTAAACAGGCAATTCGTTTACAATTTTGCAGCTGTATCTGCTAGTATTAATGATGACCATCAATACTCGATTCAGTCGCCGTTCGCAGCAATTGAGCCCCTGTAACTATACAACGGGGATAATTCAGCAGAAGAATTTAGATGTAATGACCTATTGTAGTTGGTGAAGTTGAACGACCAAACGCAATACTAACTTTTCGATGAATGGGCTTCTGCAAAGCAGTCCGAAAATCAACTTTTTTTTATCGAAAAAATGTGTTTAGCGAGGAATCACATTTTTGGCTAAATTGCTATCTAAAAAAAGCAGAATTGTCGATTTTTGAGGGAATATCAGTCAGAATACATTAAAAAAAGTAACAGGTTGATGTAGTTTATGGGCTGGTGGCATCATTAGACCGTATTTCTTCAAAAATCTTGCGAATCGTAACGTAACTGTGAAGGGTGAGTGCTACAGTGAGATGATATCCAACTTTTTGCCTAAAATGCAAGAGCTTGCATGGCATGTGGTTTTACCAAGACAGTGCCACACAGCACCGATAGTAATGAACGTACTGAGAAAATTTTATTTCACGTTCGAGACACGTCTATTTTTGTGGGGCCATGTAAAATCTCATGCCTATGCAGATGAGCCCGCTTCAATTGAGGTATTTATTCGTGAGGTACCGGCCGAAATATTAAAAAGAGTATGCCAAAATTGAACTAAGGATGTACCATTTGTATCGCGATTGAA